AGAGGCAGGAAGGACAGAGGGCTGGTCACGCATGGGCAAGGCAGGCCCGTTGCTCTGAGCTGTCCTGTAGAAATGCAGTGCCAGCCACACGTAATTTTAGCTTTTCTAATAGCTACGTTTGTTTCCTTTTTTTAAAGAATTATTTATTTTTATTTGTTTAAAATTTGCTGTAGGATACATGGGCCCACCAGAGAAAGACCAAGAGAGAGCAAGAAAGTGAGAAAGCAAGCTGCCAGGTCCGGGACTTGAACTTAGGTCAGCCATGTGGGAGTCCAGCACTCTAACCACCTTACTATCTGCTGGCCCTAGTAGCCACATTTAAAACAAAAAGACAGGCGACATTTATTTTTTAATGAATTCACTTGTTTAGCTTTTTTTTTTAAGACTTTATTTAACTTTTATTTATTTATTATTTATTTTTTTAACTTTGACCAAAGAGAGACAGAGGAGAGAGAGAGAGAGGGAGAGAGCTGGACGGTGAGAAAGCCAGCCGCCAGGTCCAGGACTCAACCGCAGTTGGCTGTGTGGTAGTCCAGCACCCTTAACTACCACGCCACTTGCTGGCCGGATCGTTTAGGTTTTTAATATATTCTATTTAACCTGGTATATTCAAAGTGTTAACGTGCACATATAACCAGTATTAAAATGAGTGCCCTCCGGGACCAGCAGTTAGCGTAATGGCTGTCACTGGGTTCCCATGTAGCCGACCGCTGTTCCAGTCCCAGACCCGGTGGCTTAAACTCATGCCAGGCGCGTGTGCTTGCGTGCCCAAGATCCCAAGAGGAGAAAGGAGGAAAAGGGATCGAGGCGTGGCCATCCCCCTGGAGGGTGATTTCGCGCTTTCTGTCTCTCTTTCTCTGTCTTTCTGGCGAGTGCACGCGCCCTACGGCAAAAACCTCTCCAACAAAAGAAGAGTGCCCTCCTTCACAGCATTTCTCCTCATCCTTTCCTTCTAGTGCATGCCAATTAGCAGTAGCCGCATTTTTTATTTTTAGTTACTTCTTCCATAGCAGTAGGGGGCACCCCCAATGAAGCCTTCGTGCTGTTCCCCCCCAAGCCTCAGCCAGCCGCTGGAGCACAGGGAGACCTCAGGATGTGAACCGGGGACCTTCTCACGTAGGCCCAGCCTCGATGGCGTTGAGCTACTGCTGCTACACAAACTGGCCCCAGCTGCAGCCACGTTCAAGGGCTCAGTAGCCATGTGCTGGCCACCGTGTGGGTGGGGCCTCGAGTACAGCGTCCTCCTGTCACCAGGATTTCCTGAGAGCGCCATCCCGGAGTGGCTCAGAGCACAGCGTTTGTGACTTCTTATATCCTATTAGCACCTCGGAGAGAAAGAGCAGGGACCCTTGCCACACTGCCTGTGTCCTTGTAACCACCTGTGGAGGAGGCAGGGCAAATAGCTGACCCCCTCCACCAGGGGGGAGACTGAGGCTCAGAAAGGTTAAGTGACTGTCCCACAGTGCAGGGTCAGAAATGCAAGGGACGAATTCATCTGTGAGTTTCCCAAGAGAACAAGAAGGAAAACACTTGGCCCTGGCCTCACCAGCGAGGTTTTCCTGTATTATTCCTGGACAAGGAGACCTGGTGTTCACAGAATCTTTATTCTTAGAATGGGGCAGAGGTGCAGGGCAGACAGTGGCACAGCAAGGACGCAGCTGGGCCCACAGTCCCCAGAGCCGCGCCTACACGCTGGGCACGTGCCTGTGACCTAGGCTGGCAGAGACTGGCAAGGATGGCAGCTAGAGACCCGTGAGGAGGGTGTGTCTCGGACAAAATAAATAAACTTAGAAAGAACCAGGGACAGAGGAAGGTCAGGGTGCAGCCCGGCCCTCTCACGGCACACTCTGCCCCTGACACTGGGTTAGTGCTTCGGAGGGCTTAAACTCATGCCAGGCGCTTGTGCTTGCGTGCCCAAGATCCCAAGAGGAGAAAGGAGGAAAAGGGATCGAGGCGTGGCCATCCCCCTGGAGGGTGATTTCGCGCTTTCTGTCTCTCTTTCTCTGTCTTTCTGGCGAGTGCACGCGCCCTACGGCAAAAACCTCTCCAACAAAAGAAGAGTGCCCTCCTTCACAGCATTTCTCCTCATCCTTTCCTTCTAGTGCATGCCAATTAGCAGTAGCCGCATTTTTTATTTTTAGTTACTTCTTCCATAGCAGTAGGGGGCACCCCCAATGAAGCCTTCGTGCTGTTCCCCCCCAAGCCTCAGCCAGCCGCTGGAGCACAGGGAGACCTCAGGATGTGAACCGGGGACCTTCTCACGTAGGCCCAGCCTCGATGGCGTTGAGCTACTGCTGCTACACAAACTGGCCCCAGCTGCAGCCACGTTCAAGGGCTCAGTAGCCATGTGCTGGCCACCGTGTGGGTGGGGCCTCGAGTACAGCGTCCTCCTGTCACCAGGATTTCCTGAGAGCGCCATCCCGGAGTGGCTCAGAGCACAGCGTTTGTGACTTCTTATATCCTATTAGCACCTCGGAGAGAAAGAGCAGGGACCCTTGCCACACTGCCTGTGTCCTTGTAACCACCTGTGGAGGAGGCAGGGCAAATAGCTGACCCCCTCCACCAGGGGGGAGACTGAGGCTCAGAAAGGTTAAGTGACTGTCCCACAGTGCAGGGTCAGAAATGCAAGGGACGAATTCATCTGTGAGTTTCCCAAGAGAACAAGAAGGAAAACACTTGGCCCTGGCCTCACCAGCGAGGTTTTCCTGTATTATTCCTGGACAAGGAGACCTGGTGTTCACAGAATCTTTATTCTTAGAATGGGGCAGAGGTGCAGGGCAGACAGTGGCACAGCAAGGACGCAGCTGGGCCCACAGTCCCCAGAGCCGCGCCTACACGCTGGGCACGTGCCTGTGACCTAGGCTGGCAGAGACTGGCAAGGATGGCAGCTAGAGACCCGTGAGGAGGGTGTGTCTCGGACAAAATAAATAAACTTAGAAAGAACCAGGGACAGAGGAAGGTCAGGGTGCAGCCCGGCCCTCTCACGGCACACTCTGCCCCTGACACTGGGTTAGTGCTTCGGAGGAGAAACGGTGCGCCCCTTCACCCACACTGCCCATCTGGTCCTCAGAGCCCTTAGTCCCCCGCGATGTGGACAGGGCAAATATTTAGCTCCCCTGACAGGCGGGAAAACTGAGGGGACTTGTGCCCCGCTCCTTTCCCGTTGATGACCTCAGCACCCAGGCGAATAGGGCCTGGAATCCCTGGAGACGGGGCCGATCTACAGAGACTGCATACACCTGAAAGGTGACAGGTCACAACTGCCCAGCAGAAAAGGAAAGAGGCTGGTTTTGTTTATTTATTTATTTTAATTGGACGAGAGAGAGAAGAGAGAGGGAAAGTGAGAAAGCAAAGACACCAGGTTCGGGACTTGAACCGTGGTCGGCCATGTGGGAGTCCGCCTGCCAGCACCGGAAGGAGGCTGTTTTGAGGGATGTTAAGAATTCAGTTATTAGAATGAGAAGGTGAGGGAAGGCGGAGGCTGCAGTCCCCTGGGTCCGACAGTCTGGAGGCTGGCAATTTACGTCACAGTGTTTTCGCTGGCATGTGGGACGGGGCGTGCACCCACTCCCCTCCCGTGCCAGGAGCTGGTGCAGAAGGCCAGATTTTCTTTTTCTTTTTTTTGTTTTAGAGACGGGGCTCATCTGTTGGCTTTGAATTTACAATCCTTGGGCCTCAGCATCCCAAGGAGCTGGGACCACGGACATGGGCCCCTGCACCAGCCTGGGTTCTCTTAACATCCTTGTTGTACAGATGTGAACCTTGAGGCCCAGGAGGGATGGAGAGAGACTTTTACACCTCTTTTGGGAATGAGCCCTAGGGAAAATGCCAGACTAGTCTGACATGGAGCTAAAGGAGGCAGTCTGCAGCCAGCCAGTTCCTGTGTGGGGTGGCAGGCTCTTCTGGAGGCCGCCTGGCCGCTGCCTTTGAAGCCGAGCCGTATCATCTCCAGATAGCACCACCTTCCTGCTGGACACTCAGCCTCATTCTGCGCTCTGGCGGTGACCGTGGGACTTCGGTTTTCTTCGTCGAAAGCTCTTCCTGGGTAACAAGCCTGCATCAGTTAGGAGTATCTTTGGATGTTGTGGGTTTAGGGACATCCTGGGGCCAACACAGCTCCTATTTCAGACCCAGGATGTCACCCTGCCCCATATCCTAGATGGCCCATCTGCGATCTGCTTCCAGGGGTCCTCGGTCATGGGAATTGTGATCGAGGGTCTCATTTCCGTTTACCCTGGATTTACCTTTCTTTACCTGGGTGCGGTTGTAGTTGGCCTGGGGTGCCCTCTGGGGGCGATGAGCTTGATCCGTGGAGCCAGGTTTGCTCACCCTCCTGTGTAAGCTCCCCCAGCCTCCGGCCTCTGAGGCCAGGCTGCGAGAGGCCTGGTCCTGCTACTTACCAGCTGTGCGCCCTGGGGTCATGGGCTTCATTCAGCTCTTGTAGTCTGTTTCGCCATCGCTTGCTTGCAGGGGAATAATCATTCCTGTCTGCCATAAGCTTCTAGGGAGGAATAAATGAGCTCCTATAATTACGGATCAATTGTGCCCTGGACTAGCCAAGGGCTAGGACTGACAGCCAAGCGCAGGGACTTGCATGCATGAGACACCCCCCCCCCCCCCGCCGAGATTCCAGGTGCTGAACCTCCCCGGGCCTTGTGCTTGGCACCTCGTAGGATTCAGGAAATACCGTGTCTAGCATAGCTCTTTGAATTCCTTTCCTAAATGTGAAAAATGCAGAAGAAATGTTTTTCTTTGGATTCGAAGTTAAACAACTTTAGTGATCCTTCGGGTGGGGGGGCCAGTGTTGGCACCGGTGCATTCCCACTGGCCAGCACATGTGGACAAAGCCAAGAATTCGGGGGGTTTCTGCCAGTCAGGACTGACTCACCCGAGCCCCGCCTGGCCGCTTCCGGGGCAGCGGATTCTCTGAATAACTCCCGTGGCTCCCTGGAGCATTTAGGATGGGAGCCACCTGGAAGACAGAACTGTCCCCGTGTCGCCCCCGCAGTGTCCAGGAAGTAAGTGCTCAGTGGTGATCTGCCCTTAGGACCCCACGGAGCTGTTTTCAGTTTTGCATCTCCAGGCCAGAGAAGTGAAGGCTGCCCCCATGTGCGTTTGTCTGGGGCGAGTCAGCCCCAGCAAGAGCGGAAACCCCACTTAAAACTCGTTTCTGTCTGACATCAGCTGTCACCTTTTGGTGGGGGGGCGGGGGCTGCCCCTCTAGATCACACTTTGGGGCTCTGTGAGGAGCGGGTGAGGGCTGTGTTCTTCCTGAGGGGCTGGTAGAACGAGAGACCCCGTGGTTTGCAGCTTTACTTATCTTTAACTTGCTATAGGGAGCGTGTGCTCACGGTGGGAGCAGGGGATGAGAAAGCACCCCCAGAGGAGATGCCCATGCCGCTATCCCTTCTCCATCTTTCCCTCCTTTTGGGATGTTGGAGGCAACCTACACGCACCCAGCACGCTCCTCAGGCCACCGGGTGTAGGACTCGAACCAGGCTGTCAGCCCCGTGGGATCTAACCGCCGTGCCACCATGCCATCACCTGGCCCGATTGTAGCTTTAGAGGCAGAAATAACCTTGGGGGCGATTTTTCAGCTTCATCACCGATGGGTCCTGGGGGTTCACTGACTAGTTGGGTCAGCGCTCAGTTCCCGTCTCCCAGACCTGGGCCTGTCCCACGGTCTTGGTCACCCTTGGGCCCTCACTCAGAGGACGGCTGGCCCCGGGCGAGCGCGGGCCCAGCGGGCAGCGTGGGCCCCATCCTCATCTCCGGCGACCACCTCACTCGGGACGTCTCTGCCCCGGGAACGGCTTGGCTTTTGGCCACGTAGATGCAGCCGTGCTGTCCCCTCCCTGTCGCCACACTCTGGAGCCTCCTACCTGGAGAGTCACAGGGCAACGTCCCAGCCACGTGGGCGCGATTAAGGATTCCTCACGTAATCACCGGCTGCCTCCAGTCGGCCCTAGGGAGGGCACAGCCTCATCTTCGGCTTCAGGAGTGCGGGCTCGCCTCACGCCCCGTCTGTGACCGGGTGACAGCCTTCTCCCTGCCCCCGTTCCCGCCCAGTCACCCCTAACTTACCGGCTTTCTCTTCCCCAGGGTCGCTCTCCAGGCGGAGTCCCCATGGAGGCGCGGAGGCCCGCCGTCCTCTAACTGCACAGCTGGGATGTGGAGCTGGAAGTGCCTCCTCTTCTGGGCTGTGCTGGTCACGGCCACACTGTGCACCGCCAGGCCGGCCCCCACCTCGCCCGAGCAAGGTAGGCCAGGCCGGGTCCGCCGCACTCGGGCCTCGGAGACCGGTGGCAGGAGGGGGTGACGTGGTCAGCTGCGAGGCTCCCTCTGTAGGAGCCACTCCAAGGTCTGGGCTGGTCCGGGCCTGGTTCCGACATAACCAGCTTTGTCCGAGGTTGGGGTCTTGAGGGGTGACATCCATTTGCCAGGGGCGACACGGGCAGGAGGAATTTGCGCTTTTCTCCTCCTGTGGAAAAACACTTGATTAGAACCTCGGACCCGGAGGCGATGTTCAGACCGGGGTCCTGCGTGCGGGAGGGAGTGAGTGACCTCGGAGCATAGGTTGGGGCCTGAGTCAGGCTGCAGGGGACATTGTGGGATGTGAGCGCTCGATAAAGACCTGGCTTCTAGGGGATGACTCCAAGGGCACCTCCCTCCCGTGGCCGTGTCTCCCGGCCTGTGTGGGCCTGCCGAGCGCTTCGCCCTGGACAAGTGTGTTGGAGGGTCTTCGAAAGGCTGGGAGAGGAAGTTGACGGGGTCTGGAGGCTGCAGGGCGTGAGCCCAGAGAGGTGGTCACAGCAGGGAGGACTTGCTGCCTTGCTCATGGGGTTTGCTTGAGTTGTGAAAATACCCCAGGGAGGTGACAGCTACGGCACCTCTGGTGGCTTTCAAAGGACTTTGAGACCAGCAAGGGGGCACTCTGGTGGCTTTCAAGGGACTCTGAGACTAACATTGGGGCACGTTGCTGCGAAGGTAGTGCGGCTCGTGACTCCGCGGGTCGTGCACAGGGAGGGTTGGCGGGCAGCGGGCGGGAGGCTCAGGTGGTGGCTCGAAGAGGCTGTATTTAAGGACCGGTGGTCTCTGCTGCTGATGGGTGACAGGTGAGGACATTGTCCACTGGTGCTGGGGACAGAGCAGGGAAGGCTGCTGAGACCTTGTAGAGGCTGGAGTCCGCACATCCGCGATCGTTTAGTAACAGCCGAAGTGCCCCAAACCCAGGGAAGAGAAGGGACTGCAGCTTGGCCATCCCTCTTGGGGCCATCCCTCCTGGGGGCATGATGATGTCTTTTTTTTTTTTTTTTTTTTTTTAAGAATTTTTTTTAACTTTATTTATTTATTTTAATTTGACCAGAGAGGGACAGAGCGACAGAGAGAGAGGAAGTGAGAAAGCAAGCTACCAGGTCCAGGACTCGAACCACTGTCGGCCATGTGGGAGGTCAGCACCCTTAACCACCACGCCACCTGCTGGCCCCGTGATTTCTTTCCCTCTCTCTGTCTCTCTGGTGATCACACAGACCCTATGGCAGAAACCTAAAAAACATCAATAAAGATCTGAGCCAGAAGGACCCCAGAGACCCAAAGCTGGAGAGACTGTCTCTGCCCACAGGGAGTTTCCCGTCAGGCAGGGACGAAAGAGGTACAGAGGTGGATAGGTGCGAGGCTGATGGTCCTAAACTCTGCAGCGGGTCAGAGCAAGGTGGTGGGAATATGGGAAGGCAGGAACAGAGCAGCCCCACGGGCCCAGGGCCAGGCAGAGGTTTGAACAGGCAGCCAGGATTTCTCGTGGGACAGCACGAGCGAGGCACAGCAGCGTGGAGCGCAGGCTTACAGAGAGTGGTTTGCCCAGCGATAGGTTAGTCGTGGGAAGGAGCACCTGGAAAATGGGATGGCGTTAGCATATGGAAGGCTTAATGCCCTAAGGAGGCCATACTTAAAATGGGTAGATGATGGAAAACTTAAACATTTTGATCAGGAAACGACGTAACCCATCTGTTAGAAAATTAATTTGGTAACTGAATTTGGAAGGATGGGACGGAGGGAGGAAGGAGGCAGGCCCAGGAGTTGCATTAGTATTTCCTGCCTTGACAAAGTACAGAAACACAGAAGCCTTGGTGTGCGCGTCCGTGAAGTGGGTACAGTAGTGGAGGGTTAAGTGAGGTAGCCCGGGTGAGCCACTCCGTGCACAGTGAGAGGCGAGCTCCTGCCTCCTTCCTCCTAGCCGAGGAAGCGAGGCTGTAGAGGCAGGAAGGACCGCAGGCTGGGAGCTGTGTCCGTGGTGTGGTAGGCCGGGTGGCAGCTCTGGGTGCTGAGAGACAGAGACGGAGCATGACGAGAGGGCAGGGAGTGAGTCGGGGCAGGTCTGTGTGGAGCAGGGACCACGAGACCAGGCCCAGTGTGGACGAGGAGGGCGTCCAGAGGAAGGAGGGCGTGCCTGAAGTTTGAGAAGGAGGCCTGCAATGGGCCCCGAGATTCTTTGTTCTGTCCTCTTTTTTCTGACTTTCTCTAACAAGCCCTCGACAGCCCAAGATAGGACAGGAACAGTTTGGATCTCGGGCCTGGGTACCGCTTCACAGGGAAGGGCCCAAGGGTCTGAGTTTAGGAAACTTTGGGGTGGTGGTCCTAGAAGCTGCTGGCTGTGAACCCCGCCTGGGAGAGGGAGCAGAGGCAGTTTTGGAGGGGGGGCAGGCCCGTTAGGCTGTACGGAGGTGAGGACTGGAGTTAGCCGCCTTTTTAAAAATCAATTTGGGGACCAGCAGATGGCATAGTGGTTACATCGCTTGACTCCTACATAGTCAACCATGGTTCAAGTCCCGAGAGGAGAATGGAGGAGAAGGGATTGCAGCATGGCCATCCCCCCGGGGGGGTGATTTCTCACTTTCTGTCTCTCTGTCTCTCCAGCAGGCGCACATGCCCTATAGCAAAAATCTCTCTGGAAGAAAAATAAATAAAATAAATGGACTTAATTGAGGTGGGTTTGCGTACACTAAACACACCGATGTTAGGTGTACGCACCCCGTTTTACTCACTCTGTAAACCCCCCCGGCCCCTTGCAGTCAATCCCCTCCGGCACCGCCGACCTCCTTTCTGTCGCCCTAGAATGTACCCGAAGGGAGTGAGTGGGCCCAGTCCCCTGTGAGGAGACACCTGCATCTGGATCATTAACGTTCTGACCACATCTAATGAAGTGCTGCGAGGCCCAGATTCAGTTCCCAGGCCAACCTGAAGGTGCAACCGCACATGCCTGTGACCCTCGGGAGGCAGGGACAGGAGGTCACAGCTCAGTGAACCCTGTCAAAAATACGTCTCTCTCGGGAACAGCAGTTAGTGTAATGGCTATGTCGCTGGACTCCCATGTAGTTGACTGTGGTTCAAGTCCTGGACCCGGTGGCTTGACCGAGAAGAGAATGGAGGAGAAGGGATTGCCATGTGGCCATCCCCCCTGGGGGTTGATTTCTCGCTCTCTGTCTCTTCTATCTCCATCTTTCTGGCGAGCACATGCGCCCTATAGCAAAAACTTCAAAAAAATGTCTCTCTCTCTCCTTTTTATTCTCTCTCTTCCTCTCTGTCATTAGAAAACAAAGAACTAGACCAGCTGGTGACCTGGTTAAGGCAGTTGGGCCCCACATGACTGACTGTGCAGTTCGAGTCCCAGACCCGGCAGCGTATGCACTGTGTGTGTGCGTGTGTGCCCAGAATCCCACAAGGGAGATGGAGAAGGGGCCGCGGTGTGACCATGCCCCACAGGAGGTGCTTTCTCACTTTCTCTCTCTCTCCTGCCAGCTCACGTGCCCTCTGGCAAAATTTTTTTAAAAAAGAAAGACTTTTGTGAACGTTTGTGTACGAGTCTTTGTGTGGCCCAGGTCCCCCCCACCCCGAATGCATGAGGGTTCAGTTGGCTCCGCTCGTCTGTCGGCTCTTGGGAAAGCCCCTCTCTGCGCCGCTTTACAAACTGCGTGATGATAAACGGTGCGCTTCGTAACCCTCGAATGAGTGTCTGCAGCGCTCTCAGAACGCTGCCTGGCCTAGTCCACGAGCAATAGCTGGCCACCGTTGGCCCGCTGTCCTGGGACCCCAGGGAGACCGCCCACGGCCCGAGGCCCCCATGGCCTCCTGGGCAGCCTAGGGCTGCTCCGGGCCCAGCAGTGGGCAGCGCCGGGCTGGGGGCCTGTGCCAGCTCTGGTGCGGTAGGTGGGCCCTGGGTGAGCAGGCGCGCTGGCGTAGCTGACCTCGGGGGCTCCGTGGGGGGACACTGCCACGGCCTCAGAGAACGGCCCTGATGGCAGCAGGGGCTCTGCCGTGCTTCCGAGTAGTCTTGGCTCTGCTGATGGTTAGATCATGATGCTTCGTGGTCCTCACAGACCCGCGTCGTGTGGAAGGTCTGCCTGGAAGGTGAGAGCAAACCCCAAACCTGAGAGGTTCCCAACAGAGACGCTTTGCTGTGCGCGTGTGTGTTAGTGAGTGTGAGAGGGGGGTGTGTGTTAGTGACTGTGAGAGAGGGGGTGTTAGTGTGAGACGGTGTTTTGTGTGTGTGTTAGTGCGTGTGAGAGATGGTGTGTGTGTGTTAGTGAGTGTGAGACGGTGTGTGTTAGTGAGTGAGAGCGTGTGTGTTAGTGAGAGATGGTGTTTTGTGTGTGTGTTAGTGAGTGAGAGACGGTGTGTGTTAGTGAGTGTGAGAGCGTGTGTTAGTGAGAGTGTGTGAGGGAGTGTATGTGTTAGTGAGTGTGAGAGGATGTATTAGTGTGAGAGGGTGTGTGTGTGTGTGTTAGTGTGAGAGGGTGTGTGTGTTAGTGAGTGTGTGTTAGTGTGAGTGTGTTAGTGAGTGTGAAGGCATGTGTGTGTTAGTGAGTGTGAGAGATGGTGTGTGTTAGTGTGAGATACTATTAGTGAGTGTGAGAGCCGGTGTGTGTTACTGAGTGTGAGAGACGGTGTTGTGTGTTGGTGAGTGTGAGAGACACTGTGTGTGTGTTAGTGTAAGAGATGGTGTGTGTGTTAGTGAGTGTAAGAGATGGTGCATGTTAGTGAGTGTGAGACAGTGTGTGTGTTAGTGTGAGAGACGGTGTGTGTGTTAGTGAGTGTGAGAGACAGTGTGTGTCAGTGTGAGAGACAGGGTGTGTGTTAGTGAGTGTGAGAGGCTGAGTGAGACGGAGTGTGTTTTAGTGAGTGAGACGGAGTGTGTGTTAGTGAGTGTGAGGTGGAGTGTGTGTTAGTGAGTGAGGCAGTGTGTGTTGGTGTGAGAGACGGGGTG